TGGACACCCTCCTCTCCCTGCTTGAGCTGGAAATCTGAGATGCTGACTCAGGGGCTTCGTGCCCAGCACTGTGAGAACATAATAACTAGCATCTATTGTTAGTAGAAATTGCAGTGGCCAGATTCTAAAATCGGCCCCCAAAGGTTTTCTGCCCTGAGCCACAGACTGTGACTATGGTGGGGGCCAGGTGTGATTGTCACGGGATGTGGCGGAAGGGACTCCTGCAGGTATAATTAAGGTTACCGACCTGTTGATTTAGGATTACTTGAAAGGGAAATCACCTAAGTAGGACCTGGGTAATCAGATGAGCTCTGTAAAAACAGAGTGCTTTGTGAGGCCACTAGAAGAAGGGAAAGTCAGAGGGAATTGAAGGACGGAAAGACGATTTGGGGTCATGGGGCTTGAGGACCAAGTGGGGACTGCAAGATTTTGAGCAGTCTCTGGCAGCCAGAAAGTCAGGACATCAGTCCTGCATCCACCAGGACTTCAATTCTGCTGCCCGCCTCAAGGACTGGAAGTGGATTCTTCCCCTGAGCCGCCACATGAAAGCCTAACTTCTCTGGCACCTCAGTTTTGACCCTGGGGGACCCTAAAGAGAGAGCCCAGGGGAGCCCTCCTGAACAACCAGCCTGCAGGCCCATGCGTGGCCAGGGTGCTGGGTAAGCAGCTTGGCTCTGGCCCTTTGTCCAGAGCAGTACAGGTGAGTTAGCAGTGGGTGCAGGTGGTGCTTGGAAGGGAGTCATTTTGCACAGTAGGAAGGAAGGGATCGTGAGTGACATATGGTTATGCTTTGTGATGACTGACTAAAACCTGTCTCATGGGATGAATGCCCTCTTGCTGCAACATCTGTACGCAAAGCCTATCTAAGGAAAACCTGTTGTATAGCCCACGTGTGATGCTAATCTGGAGCACGCATTTTTGTGTGTGTGGTGCTGGGGACTGAACCCGGGGCCTTGCCCGTGCTTAGCGTGTGCTGCCTTTCCCACCCGGTGATTTCTTTTGAAGAAGCAAGTTGTGTGTTAGCTCAGTGTGAAGTAGGTCTATTTCATAGGGTTTAGTTTGAGCACTTTAAATATTTATTGGCTTATGTCAAGTCTGGAAAATAACCTTAGAAAGTTATTCTGCATTGCAGTTCATGCATTTATTTCATGGAGCCCAGAGGTCTGGTTTTTTGTTTTGTTTTGTTTCCGGTACCGGGAATCGAACTCATGACCTCGCACTTGCCAGGCAGGTGCTGTGCTGCTGAGCTAAATTCCCAGCCCCGAGGTCTGGTTTTTGAGTCTTGGTTGTGCCGGGTGTTGGGGATCTGCTCATCTGTTCTCTGCTGGTGCTGAGCTCACAGTCACTGCGTGAGACAAGGGCCATAGGGTGCTGTGCAGACCCGAGGGAAAGGCGTCTCACCAGGCAAAGAGGCCCCTGAGAAACAGCGTGGTGCCCAGGGGCAGGAGGCAGCCGAACGTGAGGGAGGGGAGGCGTCGCTGGAGAATTGTATCCAATTGTGGACGGGTCGCTCTGTGGCCTCCTTGGTCTGGGCAGGAGAATCCAGCTTCTATCCAGCTCTTAGAACATGGGTGTGCAACAACTCACAGCAGCTAAATCTCCAAAGCTGCCTGCATGTCCACCAACAGGTGAGTGGATAAAGAAAATATGTGGTATTTACACACCGTGCAGCACTGCTCTGCCACAAAGATGGACAGACTTGAGTCATTTGCAGGAAATCAGTGCACCTTGTGACCATGATGTTTTGGTTTTTATTTTGTTTTGTTTTGGTACTGGGAATCGAACTCAGGACCTTGTGCTTGCCAGGCAGGTGCTGTGCCGCTGAGCTGTATCCCTAGCCCTGTCCGTGATGTTCAGTGAAGTAAATCAGACACACAGCTTAGATACCACATGGTTTCTCTTTTGTATGTTTGGTACCAGCAATTGAAGTCAGGACCTCACGCTTGCCAGGCAGGCGCTGTGCCGCTGAGCCACATCCCCGGCCCACAGGATTTCTCTTATATGAGACGCTCACAATGTGCATAATTTAAACAGCAAAATAAAAGGTAGGTAATAGGAGAAAGGAGGGCAGATCTTTTACAAAGGGAAGGGGATGCAGAGATGGCGCGGGAAGGGACAGGGACGTCAGAAGAACACAGATGTGTTCTGTACGTGTGGCTGCTCCTCATGGAAGTGGGACCACGGTGCACTGCAAACATGGACTCATAGAAACAAGAAAAAAGAAATTTTCAAACTTAAAAAATCCAGCCTTGAGGGCTGCTAGGATTGCACGAGGTAACAGCCATGAAGTACCTGGGATACAGGAAGCAAGCAGTGCGTTATTATTTCATTGCTAATGAAAATGTTGGAAGCTGTGACTGCTTCAGGTCCTGCCCAAGTGCCCTTGGGGGAAGCTGGCGCTCGGGCGAAGCTCCCAGCAGCCCCACTCACTGACAGCACGCCTCTGGCCGCATCCCTTCTCAGGGGTCCCCGGCAGCTGTCTCACGGAGGGCAGCGTTGGGCCCTTGAAAGAGTTGTTTGGCGGGGAACATCTAAGTGCGGTCCCGGGTGGAACCCTAGCTGTTGTTTCATAGAAACTGCGAAGCTCATTATGAAGTGTACAGAGAAACGCAGAGGACTTAGAATTTATCAGATGATTTTGAAGAAAAAACAGTTGGAAGGCTCACTGCCTGATTTCAGAGCTTGTCCAGGGCTGTGACGCCGGTACCAGGACTAGCCAGGGGGCCCAGGCAGCCAGAAGAGAGGGCAGAAATACCCACATGAGACACAGCGGTTCTGTGCAGGAGGGAACGGCCCTTCCCGTACGTGACGTGGGGCAGCGGGACAGTCACAGACGGAAAACTGAGCGCGTGCGGCACTTGCCCAGCGTGCGTGAGCCCTGGGTTCCAGCCCCAGCCCTGCAGAGCCAAGACAAGACAATTACAGTGAACCTTGCTGGGGTCTGCAGCTCGGTGGTAGAGCACTTTCCCAGCGTGCTTGAGGCCCGGGTTGCATTCCCAGCACCGAACTATAAATACATAAGAACAACGAACCAAACCTTGAGACCCCCCAGCCACTTAGAAAAGTCTCTTCGAAGTGAATCACAGCCTAAGTGTACGCGCGAAGATAACACACTTCTTAGAAGAAACAATAGAGCCATGTCCGCATGACTTTGGGTAGGTGACAATTTCTTAAACAGGACACAAAGAACATGAACCAGAGAAGAAAATGTCAGAGATCGGACCTTGTTAAAATTGTCTTCTTGAAGTCATGATCAATAAAACAGGAGGAGCAGGGGCCAGAGAAGATGCGCGTAAGACCTGTGTTTGACATAGGGCTCGTTTGTTAACGAATTGATGAAAAGGGCAAACAAAGCAGTTTTAAAATAGGCAAAAGATTTTTCTTTTGTCTTTTTGAGACAGGGTTTCACTATGCAGCTCAGGCTGGCCTTGAACTCAAAGCAATCCTCCTGCCTCAGCCTCCCAAGTGCTGAGATCACAGGCATGTGCCCCCATGTCCAGTGTAGGCAAAAGATTAAAACAGACTTTTCACAGCAAGGCATATCCAGATGGCCAGTAAAAATGGAAAGGCCCCCAATTCCATTGTGCATGGAGGAAATATAGGGGCGAACCACGGCTGGACGCCCCTGAACTCCCACTGGCAGGGGGAACCAGAATGGGAGGCACCTGGCCTTGCCGGGGCCCCTGCAGCTGCCGGGAACGGGCTGTGCTGGCGGAGGAGTGAGCTGGTCCTGAAGCTGGGCAAACTGGCTGTTTCCACCCCGGACAGACAGACGGGGCGTCAGGCCCCAGCCGCCTCAGTAGCTCAGCACCTGGGCCAGCTAAGTAGTAAGGAAACAAGGCTTATTTTGGGCTCCCAGTTCTCCCAGGTGGAAGGTCTGAGTGTGGGGAAGGCCTTGGTGTGTACGTGAACGTGTGTGTGCGCATGCACATGCGAAGACCGCATCCGAAAGAGTTGCTTACCTGCTGGGGCCGGCAAGCCCAGCGTGCAGGCGAGGGAGCGTGGACGCCGTGTCCTCGGCAGCTGCTGCAGGGCACCCGGGTGTCGGCACTTGGCACCTGTGTGGGCGGCGAGGCTCCCCCACGTCCCCCGACCCTCGCGAGGCGCGAGCACACAGTGTCTTCCCGGCCACCCGGAGCAGCGCTTGACCCCTCGAGTGGGCGCCGCAGCCGGACGGACGCGGGAGTTGTGAGCTCGGGGGTGGGGGGGGCTTTGTGCCCACTGGGTCGCCGCGCCGGCTCTGGGCCCAGACCCCGACCGCGCAGACGGAGCCGCGTCCTCGCAGACCTCGCCCCGGCGAGCGGGTGGGAACCGGCGCTGTGTGCCAGGAGCCCGCGGGGTGCGACGACAGGGCACGGCGAGGCGCTGGGCCGCCCCCACCCTCGGACAGACGGACGGACGGATGGACAGACAGATGCCAGCCACTCGGCGTCTGTCACTGCTTCAGGACCAGGCCTCTCCGTTTGTGTCACAGACATCAAGGGAGCAAAAATAATTGTGTCCGTCTTTCAACCCAAGCAGGGAGAAGGGCCGTGTAGTGTCATCTGTGAGGCCTTTCACAGGACAATGAAGACAGTGCGCTTCAGACCCCTGACGGAGGAGGTCGGGGACCCCCGAAGAGCTTGGGACCGTGGGCGGGGCGGGGGTGCAGGGCTCGCTGCCGGGTGAGCGCTGTGTCCTGCGTCTCTTCCCCCTCCTTCCCTCCCTGCCTCTCTCTCTCTCTCCCTCTCGTTTTCCTAGATCAGACCTGCCAAGCACAGTGATCACTCATGGTGGGGCGTTGGTATCTGTCTATAACACATCTTCGTTCATTTTCCACCCAGAAAACACCTTGTGTGTGCAGAATTTCCCACTTCTAGAAAGACACTGCTGAAGCTGCCTGGTTTCAACTTTGACAAACTTCTCTTGCTCTAAGAAATGTGTCGGTGACATTGCCAGCTAGAGGACAAAATATTTTCATCAAAAGTGCAGGCTTCAGAGGAGTCTGCCAGCCAGTGGGAATGTCGACCGCTCGAGCCGCTCTCGGGAGCTGCGGTTTTGGTCCGTCCTGCTCCGTGTGGTGCAGCGTAGTAGAATTCTGGCCGATGCCTACCAGGGCTCTCTTTCAGGGCCGGAGTTTTTAATTTGGCCGACTTACAAGGCTCGAGTGGAGGGTGACCCACTTTTCCCTGGGTCAGAACAACCCGGGCACGGAGCAAGTGGTTTCTTTTGCTTGTGGGAAGCTTGGTGAGGTTTCCCGGCTGGCAGACTCTGTGTCCCACATCTGCCTCATAGAAAAGCCGAGACTGGAGGACGCGTGTTTTCTAATGCAGCGTCTGCGTTGCAGGGCGTTTAAGCCTGAAGCTTCCTCTTGGTAACTGCTGCCGTGTGAGGAACACAGCACGGCCTTGTTCCCGGCAGCCGGTAACGTGAAGAGCGGTATCGCGTTTTCCTTATCTGCGCTGACAGCTGTGCACCAGGGAATGAAAGATTAGAGTCCGTGTCACTAAGAGAAAGCCTGGATCCCTCCTGCGAAACCTTTATAAGGGGTATTGAATTAGCCAGTTGGCAAGGTTCGGCTGTCATGCTGCTGAGAAGTTCTGTTTCTCCTAATGGAGAATACTGTATATGCTCTTGTAAATTCAACAAAACACTGACATATACAAGATAAAAAGTTATCATCTTAACATATAATTTATACATTGATCACAGTGCCATACACCCCTGCAATTGATATTTTACAAAATTAGTACATGGATGTGTTCTCAAACATTTCAAATGTAGCTTACTAATTCACAGGTTAAATTAGCAACTTTATCTTTCCTATGGTCATCTTTTTCTCACCTGGTTTTACTTTTGGGTGGGGCACTGCCCAAGATTAAACCCAGAACTACATCTCTAGTGGCATCCCTCTCTTTAAATATTTTATTTTTCAGATAGGATCTTGCTGAATTGCCCAGGTTGGGTTCAAACGTGTGATCCTCCTGCCTCAGCCTCCCAGAGCGCTTGCACCACCATACCTGGTTCCAACTTTACATTTTTATACCTTGCTCATTATATCATTCTGTTTCCCTCTCACAAGGGATTAAAAGGGAAACTGTTTGTTAATGTTTAACGTACTTATTTGCCTTCTTATTTATTTTCCAGTTCTGTGTTGGTCTATTTTAGCAAGTAGTTATGGAAACAATAGGCTCGTTCCAAGCCAGCACTAGTCGTGCACCTGCCCTGGCAGATGGATGAGTGTGTGACCCCTCTGGCCCGACCGACTGATTCTCCACTCAGTTGACTTCTCTTTGCTGTGGTTTTCTGATTTTTAACAAAAAGAAGTGAATTCAGTGTCTTCTACCTACTAAAAGCTAAATAAGCATTAACTGTGATACTAGCGATGATGTTTCAAGTTAAGCCTCTTGGGTTATAAGCTGAGCACACCGGGGTCTGTGTGATCAGCTTATCATTTGTCCCACGGAGCTGGTGGCCCCTCACTGTCCATTGTGGGGCCAGAAGATCAGCTGCGTGGTTCTCGAGTTCCCCTGCGTCTTCAGTGTATTATGAATCTCATTGCGGTATCGTCCGAAAGCGCAGCAGGTTATGTCATGCGGATTGATCTGTGTGTGCCTGCCGCGTGCGGTACAGGTGATACATCAGCGCACACGGGGCCTCGTACTCCAGTGCCGCTGGAAGCAGAGGGGAATAAACTGAGCCACAGAACAGAGCAAGGGATTCCTACGTTGAAAACCTGGGGTTTGTTTATTACAGTAAATACAGCCTGCACTTATTTTTCTACATTGGTGCTGCGAGGATTTACGGGTATATGGCTTGTTCTGTGGAAGAGTATCAGGAAAAAAATCTTCACAAAAGAACTTTGAGCTGGGGTTTCAGCGCACGCATGCGATTTCTGGCAAAGTTTGGGAGCTTCATTGTCTTGCCGCCCTGCCAGAACAAGATGTAAATGTGAGAAGGTGCGCTAGGAGTGCCCGGAACGACTCTCCCTTTGGGCAGGAATATGGCTGTGCTTGGGGGTGGTATTCCGAGACAACAGCTTGTGCCATATCTGGGCTTGGAGTATCCTTAATTTAAATAGGAAGCTGGGCATGTTGGCCCATGCCTGTAGTCCCAGCACTCGGGGAGGCTGAGGCAGGAGGATCCCTGCTAGTTCAAAGCCAGCCTGGACTACACAGTGAGTTCAAGATGAGCCTAGACTACATAGCAAGATCCTATCTAAAAAAAAACAAAACAAAACAAAAACAATAGATAGGTGATAGATGGATAGAGAGAGACTAGGGAGCTGTGAAAGGTTTCTTTTCTGATGGGCACGTTGGTGGTGATGTCCCGGTGGAAGCTGGGGGCTGCATCATGCACTGTGAATTTGTGTGTTGATTAAACCCATGGTTCTGTCTCTTTCAGGAAGTCCACGACTTGTTAAAGGACTATGAGCTGAAGTATTGCTACGTGGACAGAAACAAACGAACAGGTAAGGTTTCAGCTCTACGTGAGTCGTGCAGAACACAAAAGCTCGCTGTCGCTTGATGGTTATGGGAATCTGTGAAATGCTTAGAAGTAAATCGTATCAGTGTTACACTTTGTTTCCTGAAGTTGTGACCGCATAAATGACTACGAGAGCCTTGGGGTTTATCAGTAGTGAATGTTCTGGCGTGATGTGTGATCATGACCATTCTGAATAGGCCTGGTGGTGTCCGCTTTGAATAACATGCTGTAGGGCTTTATGACTAGACTGGAATTTGACCTTTTGCTGGACACGATGGGAAACTAGTTTTTCTGAGTGTTAGTTTTCTATCTGTGAGATTGAAACAAGATTTTTCCGTTTTTTGCATGTGATCTATAAAGGTTTAAAAGCATCTCACTGAAATAAAGCACGGCACCGCGCTCACACGCACCCACGTCAGCAAATGTCATTCTTCTGTCTGTAAAAAGTGTGCACAGGGCTGGGGTGCTGCTCAGTGGCAGAGACATGGGTAGCACTGCAAGGCCCTGAGTTCCATCCCCCGTGCTACCAGCAATCAAACAAAATTTCAAAGGTGTAAGACTCATTGAATTTTCTCAGACTGGGTGGGGGCAGTAAAAAGCAGCATCACACATGAAGAGGAAGTCCGGCTTCTGGGACCAATTCCCGCCTCCTTCCTGGGTCAGCACGGAGCAGTGGGTCCTGGCTTCCCAGCCGGTGGGTTACGTTGTACTGTGCCGTGCGGTCTGCAGAGCCATGCATAGGTGATTGTTCCTTTTCTTCGGGGCATGAAATAAGATAATACTTCCTTGTCCCCCTGTAAAGTTAGAAGTGACCAGTGATTTGCTTTTGTTTGTTTTTGTTTCTGAGACAGGGTCTCTCTGTGTGGTCCAGGCTGACCTTGAACTCAGTGTGTTCCCTAGCTATCCTTGCTCTCCTGGTGATCCTCGTGTCTCAGCCTCCTGAGTGCTGGAATTGATGACAGGTGTGCACCACCACACGTGGTGTGATCTGCTTTTTTTTGATAAATCCAAGTGGAAATGCCATTGTACCTTTCAGATGGAGGATGTCAGAGCCAGGGCGGAGCTGGCCGCTGCTGGCCGCCTGGGCTCTGGGGGTGTGGGAGGTGAAGGGGCCTCTTGCAGCCCAGGTCCCGAGTGGCCATCAGGACAAAGCCTTCTTCCATCCACAGCTTTACCTGGGTGAGGCAGGAACTGGAAGCAAACCTTAGGTTTTGTTTTGCCATGAGATTGGGAGGCTGTGGTGTTTTGTTTTGTTTTGTTTTGTTTTAATCACAGTATCTTGACTAAAACCTACCATTTTCATATACCTATACACAGTTAATGATATTGTTCTTTTCAAAAAGTACATGTAACAGTCTTCTGTATGTTTCATCTAGCAAGTTTTTCTGTGTTGATACACGGAGCTCTGGCTAATTGATTTAAATTGCTACATGTTACTGCGTCTGGGAATTTATCACAGCTGATGTATCTGTTTCTGATGGGCATTTAGGATGCTTCAACTTTTGCAAACTGTCACAGTACCTTTCTCTGATATGCTCTGCAACCTTCCCCCCACAATCAAAGTGCTGGTCATTCAGTGGTGGCGAACCTATGGCACACGTATTGCAGCCTGCTGATCGTCACTGCAAGCTCTTCTAAAAAGTTCTCTATCCTGGGTAGATAGTGACTCAGGAGCTAGAGGAACAGCTTCCAGCTCACAGCCAGGCTGCCAAGCCCCCCAATTCTCAGAGCATGGGGAGGAATATTTAGATTGGCTCTTTCTCAGCCGTGGGGAGAATTACCTCTACACTAATGGTGCTCCGGTCCTACTAGCAAAACTTAAGAACAGTCCTTAGCAAGAGCAAAGTACTTCCCGGTAACTAGCCACACCTAGAACACAACTCAAGAATATTAAAATTAACACAAAATATCTATGTTATGGTTTGTGTCTGCATGTCCCCCTAAAGCCTCATGCAGTCATGGGGCAGGCTTCTAGCTTTATGACTGATCCACGGTCCAATGCTGGGATTATGGGTGTGAGTGCTACACCCGCCCTGGGGCAGGTGGCTTGCATACAGTGTAAGGGAGGGAAAGAGGCTTTTTGCCGCCTCTCCTCTCTTTTTGCTGCTGTTGCTTTTGCTGTTTTCTGATGCCATGAACGATTGCCCTCTGCCATGAGTAATGCTGCCTTGGAGCCAGCCAAGTACGGACTGAAACCTCCACACACTGTGAGCTAAATAAACCTTTCCTCCCATAATTCTGGGTGTCAGGTATTTTGTCCCAGCAACAAGAGAAAAGTAACCAAGGCAACGTACCACCCAAACACAGTAAATATACAGTGTCTGACATCTAACAAAAAATTACGAGACATGGCAGAGAAGCAAGAAAAATGTAACAGGTCATGAGGAGACAATCAGTCGGTCAGAACTGACCTGGAGTTTCACAGGCGAATTAATGAAAACAGACAGGAAAGGAGTTTTTATATCCGTGTTCCACATGCATGAGAAGCTGTAGTAAAGATGGAGCAAGGGAGGAGAGGAAGGGATGATGTAAAAACCACCCAAGTCACACCTCACGGATGGAAACAACAGCGTCTGAAAGTAAAACTAAACCCTGGATGGGAAGAACAGAATGAGCACTGCGGAAGAAGGATTAGTAAACTTAATGACAGAATGGATCCAAAATAGAAGGAAAAAGCTGGCTACAGAATGTGGACGGTTTCCTCAGAGTCATGCTGTTGGAGGATTGGGGTCCCTGAAGGGTGAGGGCTCCCACAGACAACATTTAAAGAATCCCTGGCTAAAGACGTTCTGATTTCTGTGACGACTCTAAACCCCGATACCTACGGAGCTTACCCAGCTCCAAGCTCATAAGCTATGAGAGGCATCATTGTAAAAATGCTTGTAATTTGTGATGAGGAGGAAACCTACATGCAGCAGAGAAGAAAACAAAAGGAAGAGAGGAAGCAAGGAAGAGAGGTTTTACCCAGGAAGCTATCGCAGAGAAGCACTCTTATGAGAAAATCAGGGGCCAAACCCTTTCTTTCTTTGTTGAAAGAGAAAAGAGCCAACATAGAATTCTTTACCCCTTGAGAAGGTGCTTCCAAAATGACGGTAAAATGAAGATTTTTTTCAGCCATACAAAAATATTGAAAGATTCATTCACCCTGAAACATGCATTATAAGAAACACACATACAGGTGCACACAGGCACATGCATACCCAAACACACACACGCAGATGCCGGGCGTCCTGGCTGAGATGGAGCTCAGTGGTAGAGCACTTACCTAGCAGGCCCTGGGCTCCATCCCAGCCAAGGGGTGGGAAGGAATCAGATATAGTCCCTATTGGGTAAAGTCTCTTTTTAATATTTAAATCTCTTTAAGAGATAACTGATTGTTTAAAGCAAAACTAATGACTGTATTATGAGGTTTTGTGGGCTTTTTTTTTTTTAATCTTTTTGAGACAGGGTTTCACTATGCAGTTCAGGCTAGCCTTGAACTCACTTTGTAGCCCAAGCTGGCCTTGGACTTGCAGTGATCCTCCTGCCTCAGCCTCCCAAGTTCTGGGACTACAGGCGTGTGCCACCACGTCTGGCCTTGTATTATGAGATTTCTAATGCATGTAGACATAAATGCTGAGAGCAGCAGTGCAGGGGCCGGGAGGGAGGGAGGGCCGGGAGCCCGCACTGCAAGTCCTCACCCTGTCGGTGGAGTGACGGCGTGGCACTTGGCCATGGGTGGTAACAGGCAAAGCGTGTGCACAGCGAGCCCTAAACCCCGCCCACGCCTCCCAGCAGAGAAACTCACTAACCAGATTAAGTAACGTTGCCTTGGATTAAATAATGTGGCCATGGTGGTTTCTGTAGAAATATACATAATTAGTAAGTAATCTTCTAACAGCTGGTTACAGCTATAACCTACATGTTGACATTAGAGCTTTCAGTGTAGTGGGTATGAAGAAACCCTTCTGTTAAAACAGGAGCTGGGCGCCACGGGGCACACCTGTCATCCCAGTGCTCCGGGAGGCTGAGGCAGGAGGACTGCAGGTTTAAGCCCAGCCTGGGCAAGACCCTGTCTCAGAGTTTTAGAAAGAAGGGGGCTGGGAGTGCAGCTCTGTGCAGAGGCCCCGGGTCCAATCCCTGGTACCTAGAAAAAGAGTGACAGCGTTGGAGAATAAATTGTCAGTGTGCTTCCATCAAATCTGCCCCGATAATAAATTGATTACTAGAGCAAGCAAGGAGCTGTGCAAGGGTTAGGGTCCACTGTGCAATATTTCAGTTTTGCTAGAAAATAACAGTAGAATTAATGCTAAATTCCCGTACAAACTGTGATGTGACCGCCGCCATTTCCGGGAGAGCCTGTGCGCACAGAGCCGATTATTTTCAGAGAGCATGCAGTCTTGGGAAGAAATGGAGGGAGCTGTGGAACGGGAAACGTGGCCTTTTCTCCTCTGCCTGAACTTAGTTTGCTTAAGTACGTTATTTATTTTCTACCGTGAAGTTTCGAAGCTGGGTTGAGAAGAGCGCAGCTGTGCAGGGAAGGAAAAGCAGAAGAGCTGCGGTTTTGGGGTGCGCTGGCTGATCTGTGGACGCGCACTCACGCATTCATCCGCCTGGCGCTCACTGTGCGCTCCTGGTCCTGCGCTCCTGGTCCTGCGCTCCTGGTCCCTGGGGGCTCGCAGCGCCGCACGTAGTAGCAGTTAAACTAACAAACCGCGGTCGAGGCGGCCAAAGCATGAAGCTGAGCAAGGCACGGGAGCGTGACTACGGACGCAAGCCACTAAGGCCCCCTGCGGCCGGACATCCTGGAGGAAACCCGGACGTCAGCTGGGAGTGCCGGGCCGAGCAGGGCCGGTGCCAGGAGGAGAGTGCAGGCCCCCCACTCCCCGGGGAACACAGGTTTGGAGGCGGCTGGTGGCCCCCGGCAGGGGCACACCTTGGAAGATCGTGTTCGTCACTGGAACAAAAAGAAGAGAAGCCGGAGGGCTGGAGACAGGACGTGAGGCCTGTGTGGGGAGCAGAGCCGCAGGGCTCCTCCTTGCAGAGCAGGGTGCAGGCCCGGCCTCCGACGCAGGGAGCTGCTCCCAGCCAGGGAGACACAAGGGGCACGGGCGGCAGCGGATGGCTTTTTGCTGTTTGTGTTTTGTTTTTGCAGAGACAGGAAGGAGACCGTGACTTGTGCTTGGACTGTGTGTGTGTGTGTGTGTGTGTGTGTGTGTGTGTTCACATGCACATATACGTGGAAGTGAGGATTAAAAATATAGGGTCCTTTTGGGTCCTCAGACGAGGCTACTGTCTTTAACACTTCCATGTGATATGGGATCATAACATAAAGTGAACATTTCAGTTTTAAGAATTATAGTGAAAGACACACTGCCCTTAATCTCCCTCGAGGTGCCCCCGCCCTCTTGGAACACCCTTACCTCACGGCTCCTGCCACTGTCTGAGAGCTCAGAAACGCTCTTTGCCAAGGGTCTTCACTGGGTGTGATGAATCATCCAGTGACTGTGCTGCCAGCTCTGCCTGGCAGAAGGGCAGCTCTGAAGGCGCAGGGCTGTGTCCTCGTCCCTTTATGCACCGGATCTGTGCGACTTCCGGCTCCTCCCCAAAGTCAAAGTGGCCGGGACAGGGAAACGTGAATGGATTCATCGAGGCAGCCGGAACCGCTAAAGACCCTCAGAGGAGGGCGGCGGAGCTGCTGCAGGCCGTGGGACAGGTGTGCAAGGTGAGGGGCAGCGTAAGTGTGAGCAGAGGGGAGTGAGAGAGCAGGGGAGAGGGAAGAGGCTGAGACCGCTCCGGACTGAGCACAACAGGAAGCTGCTAGCAGGTGGACATGGTCAGCAGTTCCCAGTCCCGGGGAACCAGGGCCGACGTAGGAGCACAGCCGTGTGTGCAGACCGGGTTGGCTCGTCTGCGCGTTGCAGGGAGACGGAGGTAGCTGTGTTCTCTGTCAGCATAAGGGGGAAAAGAAACTAGAACCAAATTAACCCAAGCCCTTTATCGAGGGTCTGTCACAAGCGAGCGTGGCGGCACTGCCGTCCCTCCAGTGCCGGGAGTCAGCGCCTCCTCCGGCAGTGGTTCCCGGCATTCGGAGACGGTGCAAAGTGAAAACCGCATAGATCGTGCTCTGCACAGCGAGGTGCAGAGCCCAGCCCAGGAGGGCGATGAGTGCGCGCCTGCGAGTTTCCCGCACCCGCTGTGTGACGGTGTGGTTGTGTCGGGCGAAGTCGCCGCTCCCTGGAGCAGCCGCTGTGTGCCCCCAGTGTGGGAGGCGAGGGCACTGTGGAAGAGGCTCCCTTGTAATTTTCAGATTGTCTTGCTGTGTTTTGAAAAGGAGACTTCCAAAGTTCCTCCTCAAATGGCTCAACATACTTTTTATGACACAAGAAACATTGACATGGCTGAAGTTAAGATACTGACAGCTGTGGATATATATTTAGTCGCTTCAGAACCTACCGCGTGGTTTTCATTGTGAAATTATCGTGGCCTTTTTTGCTCCATACTGGAGCAACTTCACGAGGCAGAAAGAGCAGAGATTTGTTTTTATTGTTTTTCAGGATTCAGTGAAGTTCTCTGCCCAAGCTCAGAAGCACATGGTCTGTGTCCCTTAGACGCTGTTCATCAGCCAGTGAGCCAGGTTATCTGTGCGTGTAGATTTTTACAGTCTGAGTCATGTCAGTTTGAGGAAATATGAATTAACTGGAAGGAACTGTTCTCCTCTGAGTGACCGCTGACTCTTTGTTGTACCTTCATTTCTTCTGTCTGGTTTTTTGAGAAGCTCCTCTGGAAGTCCAGGCTGGCCTTGAACCCGTGGTGACCCTCCTGCCTCAGCCTCTCGAGTGCCAGGCTCAGCAGAGTGCTCTACTGTGCCTGGCTTGTACTGTCACTATTTCAGATTCTGGCTTTCAGTCTTTCAGCTCACCAGGAAGAAAGGGAGGTTTCATAACCACATGTCTATATCACTGAGTTTTTTAAAAGTCTTCATGACATTTTGTGTAACAGGTTGTTAGGGGGGAATCGAATCCGCGTGTGGCTGGAAAAGATTACCAACCCCCCACACCCTGAAAATCTAGTGGCTCTTACGCTGGTGTTCCTGAGATCATTTCTGTGCTTTCCGTCTGGGCAACTGGCCTTGGATTAATTTAGTGGCCGGATCAGCATTGGAAAAAGAAAAGCCTGTGAAGCAGATTTTAAAGCTCAGTGGCACCGCATGGCGCAGGGATGGAGCCACATGAGGATTTTGCTTTGGGAAGGTGCACACGTGTGTGGATGCGTCACAGGCGGAACACAGGCGCCTTACCGTGGGCCCGGCGGGGACACCGGCTGCCGCTGATCCCGCAACACCTTAACCTGCCTTTCTTTTCTTTTTTTTTTTTTTCCGGTACCAGGGATTGAACTCACGACCTGGCGTTTGCCAGGTAGGCGCTTATGCCGCTGAGCTATATGCCCAGCCCCAAACCTTCCTCTCTCTTGCAGCCTTTGTCACCTTGCTGGACGGGGACCAGGCGCGGAGCGCGATCCAGGTGTTTCACCAGTCGTCCTTCCGGGGCAAGGACCTGGTGGTGCAGCTGCAGCCCACGGACGCGCTGCTGTGCGTCACCAACCTGCCCGCGTCGCTCACGCTGGAGGAGTTCGAGGAGCTGGTCCGCGCCTACGGGGGCATCGAGCGGTGCTTCCTGGTGTACAGCGAGGCCACCGGCCTGTCCAAGGGCTACGGCTTCGTGGAGTACATGAAGAAGGACTCGGCGGCCCGCGCCCGGCTGGAGCTGCTGGGGAAGCAGCTGGGGCCCTCGGCGCTGTTCGCCCAGTGGATGGACGTCAACCTGCTGGCCTCGGAGCGCGTCCACTCCAGGTGCCTCTGCGTGGACAAGCTCCCCGCCGACTACAGCGACTCCGCGGAGCTCCTGCGGTGTTTCTCCAGGGTCCACACGCCGGTGTTCTGCCAGGTATGTATTTTTCGGGGACATGCGGAAATCGTCGCATCTCCTCTCTCCTGCGGGCGGTCGCATCCTGCCCCGGGGGAAGGGCGCACGTGGATCCCTGGACACCTCTCAGCTTTAGTGAAGGCTTCCCTCCCCCGGGGATTTGAAACCGGTCCCGTGTTGGGGACCCAGGCTCCATCCCCTGCGCTCAGTGCCGCCCCACCCCTCTTGGGAGCCCCAGTCCTCCAGCCTCGGACAGTTGTGGACGAGAAGGACAGGTAGGCGGGCGATTCAGCCCTGTTGGAAAGCGAGATGGGGTGGCAGAACGCTGGGGCCGAAGGCGGACTGGCGCTCCCAGCGGTGGGGCCTGGGCTGAGGCCAGGGAGCCGGGCTGTGAGCTCGGTGCTGAGCGCACGGGCTGTGGGGCGCCTTCTGCTCTGCCGTCCTCCTCCCGGTCTCCTCCCTTCCTCCGGACACCTTCTCCCCATCCCAGCCTCACCGTCCCTTCCCCTGCCCACTCACTCCCCCCCCCCCCGTTTGTGGGATTCTCGCTATTGCAGAAGTGTTGGAGATGGAGTGTGTGTGTGTGTGCGTGCACGTGTTTAAATTAACAGGTAAAGTTGTATATATGTGTTCTGTACAACACGGGCTTTACTTACGTTTTAGTGGTGCTGGGGATCGAACCCAGGGCCTTGTGCTTGCAAGGCAAGGGCTCTACCCCGAGCCGCACCCCAGCCCACACCATGTGTCCGACAGTGTGTATGCTCGGAGTGGAATGACTGGCCTGGCAGGTAGCGCACGCAGTAGCTCCCAGGCAGAGCTAACGGCCCCCGTCTAAACACTTTCAAGGTGAGAATTCGGGACAAACCCCCATCGCCACACTGTGCAGTCGATCCCAGGAGCTTCTCTTCCTGTCTCCCTGACATTTTGTGTCCTCCAACTGACATCTCTTGGGTCCTCCCCGGCCCTCACCCAAAACTGCCCCTCCTCTGCTGACCATCCCAAATGCTGCTGGGCCTCTGGGAGACCCGATTCTTCAGATCCCTGCACCGGGGTCTGATGTGTAGGTCCGAGGTGGTGAACCAGTAGGGCAGGCAGATCTTTAAGGCGAATGCTGTGGTCTCACATCTCAAACGTCACCCCTTCGACCGCGATGTAATAAACATGAAAGAAACCGCCAAGAGTTGCGGGCCATTAGAGTACTGCGTCAGGGTGCTTGTCAGACTGAGCCTGGCCGCTGGGAGGCGGTGGCTGCGCCGCTGCAGGCCCGGTGCTGCTTCAGGAGTCCCGGGGCCGGAGGAGGCTCACAGTCACCCAGCTGGCGTCACAGGGACGGAGCTGTTTGCTGGGTCTGGAGGGACCCTTTAGCTTCTGCTACAATACCTCAGAATAATTCGGCATTAACTAGACCCAAAGTCAAGTCATGCGATCTGCGACAGCGCTCTGATGGAACGGAGATTTTCCCCCCAGAAGTGCTAGTGCTGTGGGTTTAAGTGCTCCTGCCTTTTGAAAGGTGTGAGATGATATGATTTGTTGAGGAATGAAGGTCAGCTTAATCAAATGGGAAGGGAAACTGGTATTTTCAGTTTGCAAAAGATTATTAAGACGATGTTAGGGCGCCCCCTGTTGGTGGGTCTCTGAACTCCTGCGACTGAGGCGTTCCCTCCCTCCCCTCTCCCCGTGGAGCTGGGTGCTAGGAGCACCTGGACCGCGGCACCCCGTGTCCCCGCGGAGCTGGGCAGAGTTTTACGGAGAAAAGATATCTGAGGACAGTTTCAAAGGAAAAAGAACATGAAACAAAATGGAAATTTAGCCCAAATATCACAAAAGTACAAGAAAAGTTAAATTTAAAAAAATAAATGAAACCAGCCAGTTGTGCTAGTGCCCTCCCGTAGCTCCAGCGCTCTGAGAGGCAGAGGTAAGAGGACTGCAAGTTCAAGCCCGATCTGAGCAACTCAGACTTAGGCCCCGTCTCAAAATTTAAAAGAGCAAAAGGGCAGGGGATGTGGCTCGCTGCGCAGGCCCCGGCACAATCCCCAGGGCACAAAAATAAATAAAATAGCAATTAAAGAAACCAGAATCCCCGGAAAAGGGTTTCTTTGTAACGCCCACCTGTGAGACCCTAGACCGGAAGCAGAGCGCCCGCCCTCCCAGCCGCACTTGGCAGCCGACTGCGCTGGCGACCGCTGGGGCGCTCTGTCCGACCTGGCAGCGCCGCGCAGTCCTGTGTTGCCCCTGCCTCGCTCTCTGCGCGGTCTTCGCAGCTTCCCTTCCTGCGGAGGCTGCACGCAGGGCAAGTCGCACGGGTGACCAGCCTGCCTCAGCCACGGGAGAGGAAGCGCTGTCCTCCGACAGCCCACGCACACTTTTCCTGAGTGAGGCCGCCCCGGTATTCTTGACCCGATCCCTGGCTCTGCCAAAATATTGACATAGAAATGGATGTGGTTCCTCCCCCTTTTCTTGCTGACTTTGTTTGATATCAGTGTGGTCTAGCTGGGCGTGCTCATGCACGCCTGAGATGCCAGCACTCGGGAGGCTGAGGCAGGAGGATCGCTGTGAGTTCCAGGCCAGCCTGGGCTACACAGTGAGTTCAAGGTCGGCCTGAACTGCGTAGTGAGACCCTGTCCCTCCTCCCCCCAAAATCAGCAGACGCTTGTTTACCTTCCTGCCTTCGGGGACGCCCGCGGCTGTGCAGCAGCAGCTCCTCACACACGAGAGCCACCAGCACGCGCTCTGCTTTTTGTCCTCGCGTGTGGAGGCTGGTTCTTGTCAGTGCCCGTCACTGTGAGAACTTGCTGGTGACAGCCGTGTCCTGTCAGCTGGCCCAGGATGAAGGACGCTGCGCAGGGGGCTTCGCGGTGGTGGAGTACAGCAGCCCGGAGCACGCCGAGGAGGCCCGGCAGGCGGCCGCCGGCCTGCACATCGGGGGCAGCGCCGTCCAGGTCTCCTTCTGCGCCCCGGGGGCGCCGGGCCGGAGCACGCTGGCAGCGCTCGTTGCAGCACAGCGCGTGGTAAGCTCTCCCTGTCTACTGCTTCACTGCTGTTATCACTGTTGTTATTAGGGTTCTTCTGAGACAGTCTTGCTATGTCGTCCAGGCTGGCCTTGCACTCACTGTGGAGCCCGGCTGCCCTCAGACTCGTGGTGATCCTCCTGCTTCAGCCTTCCAAGGGCTGGGAGGACGGGCGTGCACCACCACCGGCTTTCCTCTTAGCGATCGGGGAAATTCTAATACTGTCCTCTCTTCCTGGACTCCCGCTATGCAAGGCAGCTGTCGCAGATCGGACAGCTGGGGTATTCCCAGGACACTGAGGCATTCACCACGTCCATCTCGTTTTAGAAAGTTGGGTGGACGGAATGGTAAGCGAAGCCAGTTGTCACCAGAGAGAGAAACTGTGCTGAGCAAAGTACATTCATCTGGAGAAATGTTTTGAAGGAACTGCACTTATTCAGCAAGTATTTGAGCTGCTTTTCTGTTTTAAATGTTGAATACAAGATGCCTGCTTTTTAGGAAGCATTGGGAAATGTCATGGTTGCTTTTCTCATTGCTGGGACAAAATACCCCACACCCACAAGTCAGGGGAGGCAAGGTTTCTCAGTTTGTGGAGGTTCAGTCCACAGTCGGCTGCCTCCAAGGCGGGGTGCACCGCAGAGGAGGAGCCGTCCAGGGCAGGCAGAAGGGGCACCGTGAGCCCGCTCTCCTTCCTTCCCGTTACAGCCCATCCGGGCTACAGGCCTATTCACACCTAGGGTGGGTGGGGCTTCCGGCATCCACGGCCAGGCCCATGCCCGTCCCGTCCAGTAATCACACACCCTGAATCCCGGCCGCACACGCCCGTGCCAGCCGCCGCCCGAAAGCTCCACCTGTGAGCGCTTGAGGCTTTGTGTCAGCCAGACACAGCCGGAGCAGGAGGTGCGTGTCCCGCCAAGTCCGGCAGCGCGTGCTCGCTTCCTGGGTGCGACCTGGTCACTTCCTTGCCATGCCGCACCCTCCTCTCGGGAAGCTCCTTGGGGACAGACCACGCGGTCCTCGGTGTCCGCGCTAGCACTCCGCGTAGGAAGATTTGTTAAGTGGATGAAGGAGGGAGGGGGAGCGTGCCTTGGAGAACTGGGGGAGCTTTATGAGGAAGTGACGCCTGAGTGTGACATTAAAGGGCAGGTGCGAAGTTGGAAGCGAGGTGGAGGGAGAGACCGCCAAGGGCTCTGCACGCGGCCTGCCCCGGTGCTTTGTGGACGGTGGTCCCCGTTTCGGTATGGAGCGGGTGTGCCTGGCCGGGAGCCGGTGCCCCCAGCTGACGCTTCTGCGGCCTGTCCCGCCCGCCCGCCGTCTCCGCTCCCTCCCTTCCCCGGTACTGCTCCGTGCCCTGTTCTGCGTTGTCACGGCCGCCTCTGCCGGGAGTGTGAGCCTCACACCGGGGTGTTCGGGACCTGGGGACCGCGTGGGGGCAGAGACAGGGTCGGGGAGGCCAGAGACCTGCGGAATCCAGACCGGAGGCAGCACGCGGCAGGCAGCTTAGAGACCATCCTGTCGGCACCTGGCGCCAGACCGCGTCAGGAGTGGGCTGGAAAGCGGCTTGCAGCCGAGCTGGGTGGGAGGAGGGGAGAGGACGGAGGGACCGTCGGTGGCCCCGCCTCTCCTGTCCCCTGTCCTCCCCTACCTTCTGACCTACTTCCCGGATCACCCACTCTCTTTTTTTGGCGTTTTGAGGTAAGGTCTCACTATAGAGCCCAGGCTGGCCTTGGTGCTCGTCCTGCCTCAGCCTCCCCAGTGCTGGGGTCACAGCTGTGGGCCACACCCCGCCCCCCTTCTCCTGCTCACTGTCCCCGACAGGCTCGGGGCCATCCTCACGCCCTCGCTGCGCCTGCCCCCCTCAGCCATCCGCTGCTGTCCGCCTGCTCCCCGCCAGCGGGGCAACCCCTCACCGGGTCAGACTTGCGGGTCTGCGGCTCTGGGTCTCCAGGTCCTGCTCTGCGGTCCGGGCTCCGCGTCCCCCGCAGGCAATGGGGGTGGCCTGCGGCAGCACCAGGTCTGAGCCCCCGGGAGGCCGCTGTCTCTGCTCCTTTCCAAAGAGGCAGAAAGAGGTTTGTTGGGCAGAACTTTTCAAATGAACAGGAGGACAGCGCTGTGGCCTGCAGCCTGTGTGCTTACGTTTCGGGGGCACTCTGTGGAAGGGGGGCAAGTCCAGGGCAGGGTGAGCTCCCCGGTGACAGGCTAGGTGGCCCGCAGGACACAGGGAGGTGGACAGCACGAGTGCGGGCGCAGCCCCACCAGGTTCCGTGCGTCTCACTGACCTCTGCTCCACATTCTGGGCGGACTCTGATCCCTGACTGTCCCGCCTCAGCCTCCCCTCGGTCAGCAACCCAGGCTCCTGCCGTGTGGACCCCTGACCTGTGCTGGGGTCCATGTTCTCCTCTCACCTGGCAACCCTGCTCTGATCGTGGCATTCAAGGCCCCAGTGCCCATGGTGCCCGTGTACTGCCCTCGGCGAGCAGAGCAGGAGACCCTGCCCCTCGGGGACCTGCTGTGCACCCCACCCCCCACCCGTGGGCCCCACCTCTGTGCCCTGTGCCCCGGGCTCCTGTAGCATCTTTCTGCAGTTTTCTTCTTGTTCCCCTGGTTCCGTCCCTGTAGACATCACAAGTTTTTCCCCAAACAAAGCAGAGCAGAGCAGAGCGCAGCCGTGTAGACGCCACCCACACAGCTGCGGGTCGGGGCCCGGCCCCTGGGCCGTCTCATTTTCCGTCCGCGCCGGCTCACAGAGCGGCTCAGACCAGGCGCCTCTGCCTTGGCAAGATGAGCGGGCAGGCCCCACACCTGGAGCGGGCCTGCACCTTCCTGCCTTCTGTGACGTGGTCCTGCAACTTGAAACCCTGGTGATGGGACTCCCAGGGCGGCTTGGGGCCGCCCCTCAGGAAGCCTGCTGTGCCGGCTGATTCTCAGACGCCCTGAGAGTTCAGTCAACACACTTGCAAAGAAAATTATTTTCTGTGGAATTTGCTTTTTCCATGTTCTGTGATTGAAAAAACAGATGGGGAGTGGTTAAAGAGTCCTTTAACTTACGGTGGTAAATTCCCCGGACGCTGGGCCGAGGACGCAGTGACACCGCGACATGCCACCCGCCACTCGCTGGCCGGGCCACGGCAACGTGGTCTCGCGCTGCGTCCCTTTTCCCAGGGTTTTGGGGGTGGGAAAGCGAGCCGGGCAGGCGCTGGCTGGACGGGATCGGGGCCTCTTTCCCGCAGCGCCGCGTCTCGCGGCCTTGAGGTGGGTCCGACTGCTCGCTGTGCCCCTGGGCGCTGTTCTGCCCACGCTACGGGCTTTGGACAGCTTTGCCTGGGCCTCGGTGCCCCTGAATTTCATGCCCCAAAGCGTGCTGCACTGCGGCGCCTGTGCTCGCTTCAAGTCGGGCCGCGGCCCCCTCCCGCCTGAGCTCCTACATCTACGTAACAGGACACTGAGCCAGAGTGCCCTCCGGGACACCGAGGGGCCCGTCCCGTCCCGCCCTGGTGAGGGTGGTGTGGGCTCCTCTCCGCAGGGACGTTTCACCACGGCGTCCTTGCCTGAGTCCCCCGCAAAATCCAGGGTCTGCCTACCTCCTCCATGCAGGGATTCCTTTCTTTTTTAGTGCAATCATTTCATCAACAAGAGGAGCCTTCGGGGTTCACACGGGAGCACAAAATATGGTCTTCCCCGTGGGTTAAACGGTTACATTTTTCATAAAAATTTAAGAAGCTGTCACAGTCACTGAAACCATAGCCCCTGCCCACGGAGTCTGTCCCTGTGCAGGAGGAAGCTCGGGGCAGGCGGGGCTTTGTGCCGGGCAGTGCTCAGTTGTGATTTCTAATGTTCTGCCTCCAAAGGAAAATTCTGAGGCCACTTTTCCCCCAGACTAAACAGCAGCACGAGAGGAACGGGTGGGAGCAGCGGCTACACGGGGGGCCTTGAGCCCGAGCTCACGTGCGCGTGCTCTTGTCCCTTCCCCTGGGGCAGCCGCCCTCCGTGTGCAGCTCTACTGCTCTGGGCCACCTCCCCCGGCCGGCTAGGTCTCGGTGTCCCTGTTTGAGTTTGGGGGCCGGAGTGCTGGGTGTGACTCGGTGGCAGAGCTCAGGCTGTGTGTGTCCTGGGTTCTTGCCCCAGCGCCTCAACTGCTGGGCAACTTAGACTCTTAAAATAAAAAAATAAAAAGGTGGGGGATAGAGCTCTGTGCAAAGGGCCTGGGGTCAGTCCAAGTCTCTCTCTCTCTCTCTCTCTCTCACACACACACACACACACACACACACATGGCCCTTCCCTGATAGGTTCACAACCTGGGGTCCCCAGATCCAGGTTATGTCCCGTCCCCCCCTCCCCTCGTGTTTCAGTGCTGGCTGGGAGGGGACCCTGCTGGCCGGGCAGCTGTCCCTCTCTCGTGGCCTGGATTTGTTGTATTTCCCTGGTGCTCACGCATCACGGGTGTTTGCGAAACTGAAAACAACCTCAGGTGCTCAGGAAGCAGCCCAAGCACAGGTACCGAAGCTGGTGCATCTGGGTCTCATATGAGAGCACCAAGTTAAAGAAATAAAGACTTTAGTACACAGACTGGGGGGAGGGGTACCGGAACTCGATCTCAGGACCTTGCGCTTGCCAGGCAGGCACTTGTGCTGCTGAGCTACATGCCTGGCCCTTGTATATGGGTTTTTGATTTGTACGACTACCCACATTTTTATACTTTATTTTTTTGGTGGCAATACCACTGAGCTTGCCCCCAGGCCTGTTATTAAGCTTCAATCAGAGTATATAGAATAGGACTCATGCAGCTGGGCGTGGTGGCACACTTCCCAGCACTCAGGAGGCTGAGGCAGGAGGATCAACGAAAGTTCAAGGCCAGCCAGGCTACATTACAAGTTCAAGGCCAGGCTGAACTGCATAGCGAGACCCTGCCTCAACTTGAGAAAAAAAAAAAAAAATTTCCAAAGCGTCAGAGTACTCGTATTGCTCATCAGGTGATCTCCTGAGCAGATTCAGGTTCCGCGTAGTCTCTGTTGGTATTTCCTGAAGGAATTTTCCCGCTGAGCTGCTGTCCTTGTGAAGCCAGGCACTGTTTAACCAGGGCTTGCGGTCCTCGGTGGTCGGAAGCCTGATGGCAGGGTCAGCAGCTGCGGCAGAATGTGGGACAGACACGCAGCGACAAGCAAAGTCTGCGCCAGAAGGCGGACCTCGGCGGGGGTTTCGGAGGAGAGCCTGGCGCGGAGTCTGGTGCTGGTCACCACCACGCGCGCCCGTCCTGACGCGTCTGCTTTCTGTGTCCCCCAAGATGCAGAGCAGCCGGAAGGGGCTGCTGCCGGAGCCCAGCCCGGCGCAGATCATGAAGGGCCTGAGCAACCCGGCCACGCTGCAGGCCCTGCTGCGGCCCCGGCTGTGCGGACAAGCGGCAAAGCCAGGTGAGCACCGTGCCGGGAGGTCGCAAAGCCTGCGGCCCGTGCAGACGATTGGGGGCTGCCGATATTGCATTTTCCAGGCCCTACTCGTGCTTTGAACCAGCGATCTGAGATAATAGTGTGCTCTGAGTATTTTGGGTAGGTGCAGTCTGCTTATGCTTCCATACCTTTTTTTTGAGACACGGTCTCACTAGGTAGTTCAGGCTGGCTTTGAACTCATAGCAATCCTCCTGCCTCAGCCTCCCGAGTGCTGAGGTTACAGGTGTACACCTAGCCACATTCCCTACTTTTCAACTGTTAATAAATGTTAAATATTAAACTTTAAGTTAGCTCTTAGCTGACATGAATTTACAGAGCAGATAATGACTAACATACTGCATCAAGCCCACCTGTACCGTCAAAGAATAAGTGACAGTCTTAGCGGAACTATTCTGTTAAACGTGCTGACAGTCTATTTCCTCTCTTTCCTTCCCATTCTTTTTTGTCATAAAATTGTTTCACTTTACAGCAAATGACAAGAGCATTATTATTTTCGAAGCATCACACAGTTCTCTGCAGTGTCTGTGTACATGGAATAGCAACCTACCTAGCATTTCTTTTCTTCTAAAGTGCACGACTTTACGAAAAGTGGGTGTTTTAGCACTTTGGGGGAATGCATGTCCATATTCAGTACGAAAGTTTAGAACAAACGTGTCCGGAGCCAGTGTAGTCAGTAGATCTGTTCAGCCCTGTCAGCCAGACACCGAGGCCTGCATGCAGTCTGCTGTAGCGCCACTTGGGGTCACTGCCAACCGCGTGGTGTTAACCCTGGCTGCCCGCCCTCCGGCTGCCCCTCCAGCACCAGTGCAGGGGCCCCGCCGCCCACACTTGTGACCGGCTGGGTACGAATCAGGCTCCCTGACCTGCACACATAGCTCTCGCCATTCTGGAGCGCTGGAGCCCAGGCCCCCGTCTGCTCTCCGCGGCTGAGCCCCAGCCCCTAAAAACACCCCGGTCTCTCGCCCATCCCTTCCTGGGCCAGCGCTGGGCTGCCATGATCGGCCTCGTTCACAGGACCAGAAGAGGCTCCCTCTCAGGACGTGGGGACAAAAACCAGTGAAGTTCTTTGTGATACACCCTATCCACAGGAAGTGTTTCAAGTGATCACCAGTCAGCTGAGCATACAGTAAGAAGCAATTTAGGGATTTCTGAGCAGGCCTACTGTGCGTTCCGAGAGCTCCTCTGCGGTTTCAGACACGGCTCCCTCTCCTGTCCTGACCACATGGGCACAAGACTCTCATTATTTCCAGAAACAGCTCCTCACAGTGTGACGACCTCACATGAGCAGGGACGAAGGTGGCCAAGTCACAGCAGTGCATCAGAGGACGCAGCACTCTTAAATGTTTGTGTACCAAGTAACAAAGCTTCCAAATATGTAAAGCAGAAATGAACACGGAAAGGAAGGGTAGCCCAGTGCACAGCTGGAGTGGAGGGAGGGAGCCGGTTGCCGAAGGGCGGGAGGAGAGAAAGCCCCGCGTTCGCACTTCACCGTTGGGGCAGAAGGTGTTCGCATTTCAAAGCACCTTCCAAGACTGAAGCAGAACAGGAGCTGTCCCTTTAGACCAGTGGCAGGGTCAGCGTATCATGGAACTCCCAGTAAATTTGTGAAAAGTTTAAGGAAATACTCCCTTTCCCGCTGCGTCTGTTTTGTTTGCAGTCTCGTGCGCTGCGCCCTTAAATCTGTCTTTGCTTTCTCACAGCGGTTCTCGGAGCGCCTCCCAGCCTGCCCCAGCTGATCAGCGCCCCGGTGCCCCCCACATTCCTACACCTGAATAAACCGCACCAGGTACAGTGGGGCCGCGGGGACAGAGGCAAGGTGTCTGGAGAGAATGGCCCATCTGTTCTGAACCCCAGCGTGCCCGAGTTGATTATTTTGCTTTTGAGGAAAATCCTTACTAAGTATATGTAGCTATGTGAAATCATAACCCAGTGAATATATCAGGTCCTGTTAAGCTAATCAGAGCAGCATAGTTATGCTTACTGATGGCTATTTGTAAGGCATTAGGAAGGGAAGAGGTGCGCTTGTGGTATAGTTCTGCTAGATCATAAGTCAGGGCTTCCAAACAAAAGTTCTGATGAGGTTTTTACTAAAAAAAAATTGATAGGGCTGAGGGTGGCTCAGTGAGGCCTGGGCACAATCCCGGCACTGCAAAACATAGAAACAAACATATAATGAAGCATATGCAACAATAACCCTAAATTATCACCATTTAAACGTGCTTATGAATATCCACGATGTCGGAGGTAAATGCTGCCCATTATTTTCAAACACTGCTGAGGCTGGAGAATCCTGTTCCCAAAGCAAAGCTTGTGCGGGACAGGTGCGCAGGCTCATAAACAGGCGTGTGGTCCTCGGCACTGCTTTCGAGGGAGAAGCCCGCCCTGCGCTGTGCGCTCAGAGTCCGGCTGTGCGCGCCCGGCCCTCGCATACTTGAGGGAGAATCTATCGCACACCAGCTGAGCCTGGCTGGCCGCCGTGGCTACCGCCTTAAGCAAAGCGTTGCGGCTGCGGAATCTCAAGCGGTCAGGAGAGCGGGGCAGGTCAGGCTGCACCCTGAAAGCGGGTGGGGGCGGCGAGCCCGGCGTCGGTGGGGTCACTGCGGCATCAGGAGCACCAAGCCTCCGCCTGCCGGTGAATGTCACGCGCCTCCCTGTCCCAGGACCCCCTTCCGCCCCGCATGGGTCTTTGCTCATCTGTGTCCTCTGCCCGAGTGCCCCCACCCCATGCCCGAACTGTCCTGCGTCACCCAGGCGCTCACGGGCTCGGGACCTCGTCCCTTGGGGAGACGCCCTCGTCACCAGGCTAAGCTGGCCGTTGTTGGTCTGCCCCGCTGTTGCCTGTGAGCCCAGTCCATGCGCTGCTGTGCTGTCATTGTGAGACCTCTCCCCTCGGGGGCCGGGGCAGGGCCCGGTGTGAGGTCCTCGCTCTGCAGCGCGCTCAGCAGGTCTCGCCGGGAGGCCGTGTTGCTGACGTGGGCGCTGCAGTGGAGAGGAGGGGACGAGGGACAGGGCAGCATTCGGCTGCAGCTGCTGCAGGGTGGTCACCTGCCCGTTGCTGAAGCCGGGTGGCCCTGGCGGATGCGGCCCGGGCTCTATGCTAAGCCGCTGGGCCTCACTCGGTGCGCTGGACCGGAGTGTCAGGCCAGGTTGGGCCACGGTCGCATCCGTGCCTGAGCGTTTTCTGATTTCTCAGAGCCCGCTCCTGCCCAGTGTGTCGCCCGTGTCCCCGGCGCAGCCGCCGCTGGTGAAGCCCGAGGGCGTCCACGCCAGCAACGTGAGTGGTGGGCGGGCTCCTCCTGGGATCCGCCGGGCTGCGGGAGCGCGGGTGGAGGTCGCGGGTCCCCAGGCCCAGCTCGCCCTGCCCTCTCTTGCAGAAGCCCGGCCTGCTCGGGGAGCCCCCGGCCCTGGCCCTGCAGACCACGCTCGGGATGGGGCTGGCGCTGCCACTGAGGACGGAGCCGGGACCCCCCGGAGACACACCGAAAAGTAAATGGCAGATGGTTTGCCCGTGCCCGCGGTGCTGAGGAGGTCGGGGCCGCGGCTCCGGGAGCCTCTTCTGTCCCCAAAGGGGATGAGTGGTGGGCCCCGCTCCCCGCCTGCCCGGGCGGGCTGCCCCCGAGGGCTGGGCTGGGCTGTGCGCTCGGTCCAGCGCAGCCGAGGCTGGCACAGGAGCGGGGACCGGCCGGCCGCACCCCAGAGCCTTATCAAAGGAGCAGCTGGCCTGTGTCAGCACGACGGCCCCTTACTGGTTGTTTTACATCGTGTCCCCAGTTCGTGCTAGAGGAAAACAGAGCACACGTTCTGTGTGCTCGGAACAGGTCATGCTCAGTTTCTGGGAAAACAGGAGCGCCGCATTTCACCAGGGTGTCTTATCTGAAAGTGACTTTTGCTTTCTACAAGGTTTTCAGTGTTTATTAGTCCGTGTTAGCAGTGCATAAGCGTGATCCTCGCGGGGGCGGACACACGCGCGGGGCACAGCACGGCGCAGCTCTTCCCGCCCCCTCCGCTTCCCTCCCCTTTGCCAAAGGTGCATCTCCATTTCCTCTCATTGGCCCGTTATTTTGCTATTTACACTTTGAGTTTTCATACGAGAGAAACCATGTGATGCTGAGGGCTGTGTGTCTGATTTACCTCACTTCTCAAAGTACATCCATTTTCCTACAAGAGACTCGAGTTTATCCTTCTTTATGGCAGAGTAGTACTCCATGGTGTGTCAACGCTGCATTTTCCTCATCCGTCCACCTGCTGTCAGCTGCTTCCAAGGTTGAGCCGCGGGAACTGTGCACAGGGCTGAGCAAGCTGCACTGTAATAGGATGTCTTTAACTCTTTGGGGTTGATGTGATCTTTGAAAGGTGCTTTCAAGTTGGAGCTTAGTTGGAAGTGCTCTTACCTGTGAATACGCTCAGGGAGAGCGAGCAGCCCTGGGTACCTTACAAGCCGATCAAATCTGGGCAGCACACTTAGCCTTTTGTACCAGAACCCAGCTACTCACGTGACCAAATAATCCGTCCATTCAGACTATTAAAGTCGAGTAGGCAAAAGTAAAACCAGTGCACGAATGTTGTGTAATCGGGCCTGTTCTTCAAAAAAATTCAAAAAAATTAAATATTCCATGACTGAAAGCTTATGCAAAGTATTTCCATGTGTTAAATAATAAACCATTACTATAGTATGTGCTGCTTAAAGAAAATTCAGCATCCAGATAAAAATACCGCTAAGAGAAGAGCCAAAGTACCAACCTCTAAATGTTTAAGACTAAGCTGAGCATGGTGGCACGCATCTGTAATCCTAGCACTCTGGAGGCTGAGGCAGGAGGATCTTTGTGAGTCTGAGACCAGCCTGGGCTACAAAGTAAGCTCAAGGCCAGCCTGAACTGTATAGCGAAACCCTGTCTCCAAAGCACACACACACAAAATAAAAAATTTTTTAAAAGTTTAAGGCTAAAAATTATTTAACAAATTTGCTTAGTAAATTTGTTAAATGTAAATTTAATTCAAAATAGTTATCCAAATTAGTTCTTTTCATTTAATTTCTACCTGTGGATTTCAAAAAATTGGAATGGTTCCAGATTTTCCTATTGAAACTTGAATTTCTTTCAGAATTTCTTGCTATTTTCTGTAAATAAAAACATAAACATTTACATTTTTAGTGCTTGTCTATTCGCAAATACTGAGTAAAAGTAAATAAAAACTCGGCCAGGCATGGTGGCACACACCTGTAATCCCAGAACTCAGAAGGCTGAGGCAGGAGGATTGTTGCAATTTCAAGACCAGCCTGGGCTACAAAGTGAGCTTAAGGCCAGCCTGAACTGCATAGCAAGATCCTGTCTCAAAAAGACAATAAATAAATAAATAAATAAATAAATAAATAAATAAATAAATAAAATTGAAACCTATGTTCTGCTGGTGTCTAACAAGCAGCTCTCTAGTGTTTGATAAAGGTCTTGATTTGCATCATTTTTGGTTTCTGGGCTTATAATTCTCCATCTATCGCCAATTTCAAGTTACCAAAGTGGAGACTCTGAGCTCGGGACCAGTCAGGTAGAGGAAATACAGACAGGTAGAAAGGAGACAAGGAAATTGTCAATTTAAAATTGTGCGTTTAAGAAAAAGTGTAGTTTTGGGACAGAAGTTACTCAGGCAGTTTTCCCTCCCAGGTCCCGAAAGAGAGAAAGCTCCCGAGGGTCTAAGGCCCCTGCACCTAGGGGTCTCGGCCCTCACTCCCCGCGGAAACCGCTCTCTCTCTCTCAGGCTCAGAGCCGAGGAAGCGGATCCCAAGCTGAACCCTGCACACGGCTCGCATTTCACCTGCCCGGGGACGGCCGACACATGGTGGTGTGCACACCCAGGTCCCCCCAGGAGACCCCAGACCCCAGGCCCCTGGATAAAGCGCCCAGCCCCTGACCACAAGCACCTCTCTCCCTCCGGAAAGCCACTGTGCTCACGTGAACTTCCAAGATTCTCCCGAACAATGCTATGTCTCTTGCTGTCCCATCTTGAAAATTCTTTCAGTGAGGGAGGTCAGCACGCGCTGGCACAAGCCTCATTGTCAGAGCGCTTTGAACACTCAAGACATTTCATTATTTTCTTCAACTAGGGCAGCAGACAAAGTGCAATGACTGGGCATTTTTTAAATGCACTAATATAATTTAAGGGGAGGACCAGGTGGGGCTGCGGGAGCTGCGGTTGGTGCGTGCACCGACTCCCCAGGTGAAGGTAATTATTTGGCATCGACATCTGCTGCCAGCGTTCGGGAACACACATCTCCCTGCTGGGAGACCCGCAGGCCATCAGCAGGGGCATAGGTAAGTTATGACGCCCACCCGGTGGACAGAAAGTGTCCCGCAGCCGTGCGAACATTTCAGCGGCCTACCTCTGTGTGGGAGACAGAGGACAGGGAAGCAGAATTCATGCTTCTACTTAAATGTAGAACCAGGCAAAAGCGGTCCCTGCCCGGAGTCAGGGAGCAGTAGGATCTGGGCTGTGATGGGGGAAGTTCCGAGGCGGCTTCCGGAGACTGGCACCGGCTGCTCGCCGAGCCTGGGCACTGGTGTGCTCTGTGGAAAGCTCCACGCTTATGTTTTATGAACTTTTCTGCACTCTCCCACCCTCCTACACCGAGAGTGTGTGCTCGGACAGGGCAGAAAGGGTGCGGGGGCTCCTGGTGCACCCCTCGTCTGCCTCCTGCAGGCTCTCCCAGCGCAGCGCATGACAAGCATGTGCACAGAAACGCACGTACGATAACTCACTGCCCCAAAGGGACATAGACTTCTAGGCGTACAGGGAAAACTCGCCCTTAAAACATACAGTGTACGGAGATGGCCCTAGGAGCTATCGAAAAGGAGAACAGCGCTGTTACTGTCGGAGGTTTGTGATTTTCAAAACAGACTCCCGCCTGCGAGCCGCCAGCCTCACCTCTAGAGTGAGCAGACCGGCGTCTCCGCGCCGCGCCCCTGTGACACGGCAGAGGGACGCGGCTAACCAAGCCTGTTGCTCTTGTGGCCCCGACAGCCCTGAACCTGGTTCCCACTCCGGCAGCCCTCACCACGGCCGTGGGTCTGCTGCCCTTCTTCCCGGGCCAGCACAGCGTGGGACAGGCCGGGCCCGGGCTGGGGAGCGCCCAGGAGAAGCACTCGGCCGCCGCCGCCGGCGTCACAGAAGGGAGCTTCTCGGGGCCGCAGCTGCATCTGCAGGGCTTTGCCAGCCTTGCTGCCGGGAGCCTGGGGGCCACGCAGCGCAGGCAGCCGCAGAACCAGCCGGCAGAACCGGGCTCGGGGGTAAGGACGCAGGCCGGCATCCTTGTCCACAGGCCATCCCTCGGGACAGTGACTCCAGCGGCCCTGTAACTCCAGGCTGTCCTGCTCTAAGAGCCATACAGCAATCTTAACTTTTTAAACTTGAAAGTCTAGAAATACGGATTACAAACTAGATCATTGCTATGTCCAGGAAGTGATTTCTTAATAGTTTCCATTTATGCCTCAATATCGAAGAACACTGCATTCTTCACAAAAAGACCCTATTATTATGCACATGCATCAGATCGCTTACAGAGGGGAAGGGGCCCAAGAGACGCAGGGGAGGGGAGGGGAGGAGAGGGGCGGGAGGGGAGGATGTGGCGTGCACACACGCCAGCTGCCCACAAGGAGTGTGACCGTTAAATACCGGCACGTGCTACAAAAACAAAAACCGAGAGAAAAAATAACATGCAACAGAGAAGGCCTGTCGGTAGATAAGCTATGCCCGATGACAGTTGGTACTAGCCTTATAGTAACCTGAGCCCTGTCTTATTTTTAAATTTTTATGATCAGAGAGTAGAATGGGAAAAATTTTGCCAGGAGAAAATGCAATACACTGAAGAATCAGACCATGTCTCGGTGTCTTTATCTGCTAAAGAAAGGCTGGAACCCTTACAGCCGACCAGCTGTGTGAAAGTATAGGGACGTGACACATTTTCTGAGAGCTGCAAATTGTAGAATTGTCCTCTACATGTGTAGCTGGTGTTTGTTAAACTCGGTGTTATTTTAGTGCCAGGGATCAGTAAGCTTCCTTTGACCTTTGGCTGTGGCCACATGATAGAAGATAAAAATCTTAACAATACTTGTTGATGACTGTATTTCTAGAAATGGGATTTAAGATCATTTTCTCCAGTTAAGATGAATTCTTAGAACTTTAAGTGAGAAGATTATACAAGAGACCTTTACCTCTATTTCACTTCTAAAGTTCTTCTGTTCTAGCACAGTTTTTTCTAACCAGTTGAAAAAATAACAGGTGAGATGTGATAATTTCAATTTTTAATCGACATCCATAAATATTTCATAAGGTCGTAGCATCACAGATTAGGTTACACACGTGGATCACAGGAGACCGGGTGGGTTGGAAGTTAAGTTTCTCTCTGTGCCTGCTGCGTCTGTTCTTGCCCTCGCTGAGCACCCCACCTCTTGTTCTGCCGAACAGGCCGCCGCTAAGAGTCAGATGTCACTCCTGGGAGAGCCGCCGAAAGAGATCCGGCTCAGCAGAAACCCGTACCTGAACCTGGCCAGCGTGCTGCCGCGGGTGTGCCTAGCATGTGAGTGCTCCGGCTGCGCTGTGCGGTGGGCTGAGCTTTTCTTTGTAGCGTCAAGGAGGCAAGTGGGGCCTGCTGGCCAAAGTGAGCCCCAAATCGAGACCCCGCCCTTTAAGTGGAGGAACAGAACTAATGAAAATTAAGACTCTTAAATGCAGACTCTATTCTAGTCAAGGGAAACACCTTTCATAGTATTTTCTCAAAAATAGGACAACTTTATGGAATTTTAATGGAATCATGATGGAAAATAATGGACTTACTTGGCCGTGGCATAATGCTTTCATATAGAGTCATTTTGGAATCATTAGAATCATTTTTCTAAGCCAGAGATAAATTCTTCTAAGTCATCTAAGACACCCAGAGTATTTGGGTTCCCGAAAATGTCTGACTATTCGTCGGCAGTTACTTTTTCTGAGGACCTCTGGCCCCAGGCCTTTGATTAGCATAAGTTTTTGCTCAAATACTTTTATTTTTTAAAAAATCACAAACGTAGTGTGCCCTGGACACAGTGACGGGGCTGTAGCATTTGTTGCCAATGGTGACAAGGCGGAAACCACTTTAATGTTCATTGCTAGGGGGATGGTTAAACAGATAGTTCCCCATGAAGTGGAACACTGAACACTGTGACTTTTCCTGAATAACTGAAGGTTGTCTATACTTCAATTATTAAAAAGTTGCACGGTGTTCCATTTTATGATGAACTATTTATGAAGGAGCCTCTAGTGCACATTTTTCAATGGAAAATATGTGCACACAATGATTCCATTCGCATTTATTTGAAGTTATGTATTCTTACATGTACATACTTGACTGTGTAAACACTTCAAGTACATCTGGGGACATTTCTAAACCGCTAAAGAATAGGAAAAATAGGACTAGATGAAAAGAGATTAAGAAGATTTTCATTTTTAATGGACAGCTTCTGCATTTATGAAGTATCATCTTGCACCCAAACATTCATTTGTGTTTTTAAAAGGCAGAAAAAATTAAATATGCTTTCAGTATAATATGATACATTGATCTGGTCTCAGAATTGATGGTGACAACTACTGCATTAGCAAGCACGTTTAGGTTATATTTTGTCAGCCTTATTTTAGAGATTAGACATATTTGGAAAGTTTCCACAGTTATTTTATCCATAGAGTAAGCTTCCAGGTTTCGTTTTTCCGTATGAGTGGAACAGGGCCAGGGATGTAGCTCAGTGACACAGCGCTGCCTGGCAAGCGCAAGGTCCTGAGTTCGATTCCTGACACCAAAAGAAAAAAATCCAAATGAATGAAACAACATCATGTGCTATCTGCATGATCGCTCCTGGGCCAGGTGAATAAGTACATATTAATGAACCGAAGCATGTGTTCTGTGTAAAAATCGACTGCAGTAGTGAGTTTGCGTTGTTTGTGTGTATAGTAAGGTTACCTGACTTGGTTGGTTTTCGTCCTCAGCGGCTGCAGGTCAAGCCACTCTGCAGAAGCCCGGCCTGGCCAGCACCATCCTGGATGCCATCGTGCAGGGCAGCGCCGCCCAGCGTGCGCCGGACAAGTGTGTCGCTTACTCTCCGCCTTTTGGGGATTCTGCCCAGGTAAATGGTTCTCAGGCTCTGAGGAGTCTCAGGAAGGTTGGTCCAGCCGTGGGCGGAGTGCTGTAAAAGAGACTGCACTCCTTGAGTATTCTCGTGCGAACCTAGGAGGGGACACCTCCGTGGGCGATGTTTCCTGCTCGCCGTGGGAACTTGGGAAAGGGTCCAGGAGGTAGTTTCATATCATTGTGCGCCAGCTACATACTGGTCACCGCTTACAGTAGCGGTGCCAGCCTGCAGCCCACAGACTGTCCGGCCACACTGTTTTTGTGAATAAAGTTTTATTGGGACACGGCATGCATTGCCGTGCTTGTTTCCCGCGCTGCAGCCAGGCTGCGGTAAAGGCTGTCAGTGCTATGACCAAGACTTGCGTGACCCATGGGGTACATTTTTGCCATCCGAGCCCACAGAGCGCAGGCCTAGGGCCCACGGAGAGGCCTGGCCCCCATCACGTAACTGTGCTCCCCGGCTCTGTCACGCTGGCTTTGAAGCCATCAGCCGCCCATGACCCAAGAGCACAGCCGTCCCCCAGGACTGGAGGGGTCGCTGAGGAACCCAGAGGGCACCAGAGTCAGCAGACGGGGCGGGGGCGGGCAGGGCACAGCGCGCAGGCTCTGCACGTGTCCCGCACGCACAGCTGGCGTGTGGCTCACCATCCTGGCGCCATCTGCCGTGGGACAGCGCGAACGCCACGCCGGGGAGTAGGTGTCACGCTGGCAGGTCGTCTGTGTACGCTCAGGACGGACGCGTCTGCTCTCAGATATTCGCAGTCCTGAGTCGGCTGGATCCAGGGCTGAGGGACCCGGGACGGACTGACTGCAGTGCTGCGTTCAGGGCAGGATCGTGTGGGGACACCAGTGTGTGGGTTTCGCGGAGGCCCTTCTCCTCAGCCGCCTCCTAGGGGCTTCAGGCGAGGATCCACATCGCGACGTTAGCACGGTGTGGTTGTGTGATCCAGAGTCCTGCCAGGCGTGTTTCCGGCTGTTTCTAGGAAGCAGCTTCTGGGTGGCACACCGTGCGCAGGGCCAGGGCCCCTCTCCGATCTCACAGTGACTCAGTCTCTGCCTTGTCGTCTCTAACGCACTTAGAAGTGAAACCCCGTGAGAATTCACCAAGAGCAGTCGCGGCCCGATCACGCTCACAGTAGAGTGCTAGCCACACAGCCCGAGCCGCAGAAACGGCGAAGCTGGGTGTGTGCGGGATACAAGACCACGTCCCTGGCCGGCCTGGGGCGAGGCGGGGGTTTGGGCTGGCAGAGCCAGGACTGGGCAGTAGCACTGGTAGAGCTGAGACCCGCGGTCACAGCGATGCCACCCGAGTGTCCACTTGTCTTGTAAGACCCCCCTCTGTGAGCTCTATTCAAAGGAATGGCTTAGATAAGGGCTCGACATGCTGGTGTTGACACCAGGCGACAGCTGAGGATGTCAGTGGAGACCTGTGACTCACTCATGAATAACGGATAGGTGCAAAACCCAGAAACAGCCAAGCTTTCTGTAGAACTCATTGCACAAATTGTGTTGCGTTACCCCGAAGGGCGACGACGCAGCTATGAACATCACGTAAAGCAGCGTGGAAACACAGGGTGAATTTTCCATGATCTACTGTTAATTTGTAGTATTTGCAAAGTACTGTCCTACACAATTTCCATCTTTATTGTTCTTTTATGAAGAACAAAATTTACTTTTACAAACAGGAGCATGACAAATTTTTTTTTAATTTGGTTACATGTATTTTTGAGATTGAAAACTGTTTTGGGGGGTGACATTTTATTTCATGCTTGAAAGGAGTGTTGCTTATCTCTGCAGTCTCTCTTGCTAGATTCCTGTGTGAGCTGTGTGTCTGTCGGATGGGTGGGCAGCACCTTTCTCACCCACGCTGAGGTGTGTGTGCTGGGGGACCCTCTGTACCCCTCACCTCCTCCTGCCTCTCCTCCCAGGGTCCCTGACCCCCCAGGGTCAGGCCCTGCCACTGCTCCGGGCCTGGCCTTCGAGAGAGATGTTCTCCCTTGTGCTTTTTTGTCCTTTTAAAGCAATCTCAGTTAATGTTATAAATCCAGTGAAGTAACCAGAAAAAGGTGGTAATGCATGAGGAATTCCTTCTACCATTGCCAAGGCCAGAGTGGAGGGAGAGGGTTAAGAAAAAAGGGGCCAACCAATTTTGGTTTGTTTTTCACACTTGCCTTATGCACTGTGATGTACGCATTTATTTATTTTTCTTTTTTGAACAGTGCTAGGGTCTGAGCCCCGGGCATCCCCCATGCCAGGCAATGCAAGCCTTTAATCTTGGTAATAAACCTCTGAGTTTTACATTTTCCCTGCATGACACAAGTGGACAGGTCTAGAGGCTAAATAATCTTCCCACGTTCACAAGGTCAGAGAAGAGTTTCCCTGGCTCCAGAATCAACGTTCCTTTCATTCTGCGGAGAAGTGTCCTCAGGCGTGGAAGCAGCATCGCATAAACTACAAGTGTAGGTTTCCCTGCTTAAAAATGAGGCGGATGTCTCAAATCACAAGTGGATAGAAACAGTTTCCGTAGTGGAGTGGTGATCACGTTCACCTAACGAGGGGATAGAACAATTTCTATTTCAAATTTAGAAATGAGCTGTTTGGCGTTTCCGGTGGTGGTAAAGTTGCTTGTGTCACACGGCCTCCTGCAGGCAGCCACTGTACACTGGACGAGACGGGAAAGAGAGCTGTTGTTTGCAGGCAGTGGGGCGCAATGAGAGCAGACAGAACCTGCAGGCCTTGGCCCTGATGACGGGAGCACCACGGCACAGTATCGTGTGTCTGGCTTTTGTCTGTCACCACTCCAGGCCACGGGGGAAGCTTTGGTCCTAAAGACAGAGGGCTCAGGGCAGATTTCAGGGCTGGCACTGAGGCTGTAGAATAAAGGAGCACCCTGAAAAGGGGGTTACGCAGGTAGGAGCCTCAGAAATCCACGTGGAAACTCAGCCCAAATACACACATGGCCTTGCACTGTTGTGGGGCAGAGATGCCAGGGGCTGAGCAGAGCTGAGTCACAAACTCGACTCCTTCCTCACACTCAGGCGAAGAAACAGACTCCAGCACCTGGGCGTGGTCACTCACAGCTTCAGTAAAGAAAAAGAACCACAGCTGAAGCAGCCGCAGGTTGTGACCTATGATGAAGAGAAAAAGCAGTGAATAGAAACTGACCCCAAGATGACTCAGACGCTGGTGTTCATCACAGCTCTTATGTGTCCAACGACTTAGGGTCATAGTGGACGGACAAGAATTTCAGCCAAGAACTGTAAATTATAAAAAACTGAGTAACTCTAGAACTGAAATGTATTGTTTCTGATATTAAAAAAATACATCTTTTTCTTCGTCTGGCTAGATGAAGAAAAAGATGGGAGAAAACAGGGAAATTAAAAGATTCAGTAAACATAAAAATAGATAAAACGAAATTTTAATAGGTAATTCCATTGAAAGAGCAAAGAGAAAAGAGATTGAAAACCAACAAACAAATTCTTAGGGACCTAAGTAAAATACAAATGGTCTAACGTACAGGTAGAGTTCCTTCCAAATTCATGTTCAATCACCAAAAAGCTGGAGAACTGAACATATTCTTCCCATAAGAAATAATGGAAAGCCAAAGAATTGGTTCTGAGGCCCAAAAATTACACATATAAATTCATTGCCCCAGGATTTTAACAAGGTCCGCAGTGATTTCTCTGACCATCATGGATGGACCTCAGGTTTCCTCCCAGCTGTACCGCCACTGGCAGTAACTTTCTCTGTAGCCACCGTCATGATATTTTACACAAATAACGCGCAAAAATAAAGCACAGCGGCGAATGTTTGCGTGCACTCCAGCGCTGTACATCATCTGGGCGAGCGGCACTGAGATGGAAGCGTCACCCTTTGTGTCCACAGAGAGACGCGACGCGTGACTCGCTCCCGGCCCCTGCAGGGTTCTCAAGTCAGGCTCTGGGTTTGACTGCGGAGCAAGGATACGAACACCGAGGAGACTTTTTTCAAACTTTGCTGTTCACATAGTAGAAAGTTCACCCTTGGAGCTGTTCACACTGCAGTATTGCTGTCAGCCCAGAGAGGAGAAAGAGAAATGGAGCACAGAATATGAAAAAAGTATTCATAAAGAGTAGGGAAAAAATAGTAAGGCATTGCTAAAATTTGCTTCAAAAAACCTACAGATCTAAAAGTCACAGCCTCTCCTGCAAGGCAGGACACGCCAGGCAGGAAACCAGAGCAACCAAAGTCTTGAGAGCAGCCAGGTGGAAGCACTGCCCATGGCCTTCCGGTCCCCAGGCTGAGGCCAGCATAGGTCGGCAGGGGACAGCGGGAGCCACAGTAGGTTAGCAGAGCCGGCTGTCCATGCAGGAGACCGAGCCCAGCTTGGCCAATACCATGCTGTAAAGTTAACCACTCCTGGTCCTAAACATAAACTCCAAGCCAGTGAGGACATCGGCAAAAACTGCAGTGGGATCTCCAGTTCCTTCTCCAGAAAAGCATCGGTAAAACTGGCAAACAAGGTGAGAGCCGGCTTTGCGGAGCTCTGTGGAGGCTCGAGGCCGTTGGCAGCCTGTACTGGAGCACAGGTAAGAGCAGCCGGCCGGCCGTCCCCAGCCTGCCCGAGCCCCTTCTCCCTGCCTTCCTGTGGCACGGCACCGTGGACAGCAGCTGGGCAGCTGGCAGCCGAGCAAGCGCAAGCCGGCACGAGCTCCACACAGCCCTCCTGCCTGCCCCGGAGGCCTGCACCACGAGGCCAGGGCTCAGGCCAGGCGCCCGCTGCCTGGGCCAAGCAACTGTAGCATCTGGGGCTTCAGAAACCTCTGTCCAGTCCCGAGCTGGCCACCAGCCCACAGAGTCCGGCCTGCAGGGCCACGCGCAGGAAGCACAGACTTCACACAGTGGGCGCGGGCGTGTGCAGCCAGCGGTGGGCACCTGTGGCACGAGCATTGTTCTTCTTCTAAGACACAGGGTGCTCAGGTGTGAGTTGTTTCTTCCAGACTAAAACCTCAGCATTCGGGTTTAATCATAGCGGTGGCGCTTGTGTTACGTAAGCGTGTTCGGGTCGCACTTCGGGCCTCCTCTCTGAAGATTCGCCCCGGCTGCTCCAGGCACCGCACCCTGCAGAGGCCGGGGGAGCTGCTGCCCAGAGCGGCAGCACCGTGTTATTTTACACAACCGTTTCCAACAGGGTCAAGAGCCATGGGGAGATGCGAAGAAAAATACACAAGAGGGAACGGTAATGAACAGAAATGTCCAGAACGAAGCCCAAACACTGACTTATTAGGATTTTTTCCCGTCCTGGTGACTGAATCCTTGCACACATGAAGCGAGCACTCTAACACGGAGCTCACCTCCAGACTTTAATTTCACTTTTGAAACATGATCTATCTAAATTCCCTAGGTTGGCCTGAATTTGTGATCCTCCTGCCTCAGCCTCCTGAAAAGCCGGGATTATAGGGAACACAACCGTGCCCAGGGAGACAAATACCAAATATCTCTAAGGAATGAAAGGAAGCCACACACAAAAGACTGAAAGAAAATATGAACACAAAAGCTCATGGGAAAAGACCGATAGAGAGGAGGATATTGGGAGAATGAAATGGACACTTTGGAAATTACTGTAACTGAGAGGAACAGATTAGAATGGGTGGAATGGAGAGACTGGAACGCAGGTCAGCTGAGACAGCGCAGCCCCTGGGCAGAAGAAGGAAGGAAGCCGAAGGCTGGCAGCGCAGGCACGGACGGGAGAGGCGGAAGCCACATGCGCACGCACACGCGCGTGCACACAGGCACTCGGCTGAGTGGGTGTAAATGAGGCTCCCGCTCTGCCGAGAGCGCAGCGACTCCGAGTGTGAGACGCCACGCGGCCGAGGCTTGCACTCCCGTCTGCACGGGGTTCGCACGCCAGGCTCGCTGCCGCGCCCCCGCGGCTGACACGCGGATCACACCCAGCCTGCGCCGAGAGCGGAGCCCCGGGCGGCAGGACGCGGCGGCGCGGGAGGGCTGGGTGCACCCAGGGCCGCAGGGGAGAGCGGGCCGCGCTGACACGCGGGGTCCCCTTCGTGCTGACGGGAGCACTCCCGAGCCAGACTGCGACAGCCGTGCAACTTGTGAGTATCAGCAAGTCCGAGGTCTGGTGGCTGCCCTGCACGGAGGGCCGCGGGGACGGGCGCTCCGCCCGGGTCCGGCCGCGCCCCCAGCGGCCACCGCCC